GCCTGGCCCTCAGCTGTGGCCTCATCTCTCTGGAGGCTGCGGGTGATGAGAACAGTGTGTTTGCGGGCGCGGGGAGGGTCGGGGCAGAGCTGTGCTCCAGCTCCAGCCAGGCCTCAGCCCCATGGGCCCTGTCCCCTGCACACGCCTCTCCCGCCTCCAGGACCCTGGAGACTCTCCAGACCCAGCTGACTGTGGGCACCTTCTCAGCCTCTTCAAAACTTCTCTGACTCCAGCTCCTGGAAGCACTACCCTTTCTCTCAGCCTGGCCCAGCCCTCCAGAACCAGAAAGACCTTCCCCTCAGAGACCATCAGGGCCAAACCACCGACATTTGCTCAGGGAAACGTAGTGACCTTTTCAGGGCAGCCCAGCAAGTGAGAAGCAGAGCCCTGGGCTTCTGACCCCAGGATCATTCATCCACCCATGTCTCCATGCCAGAAGGTGGGTCTGCTGACCAGCTTCTCCAGGGCCTCTCTTCTCAAGGCCCTGCCATACATAGAGATGACCCCGTGGCAGGGCCAACCTTGGTCTGGATAACCCCAGAGCTCTTCTGGGGAACTCAGCCCACCTCCAACCCGACTTCCCTCCCTATGTGCCCATGCCCATGACCCAACTACCGAGTCTGCCTGCTTCTGGTCAGTTAGTGAGTCTTGGCCTCTGCTTGGTTCTGACTCCTCAGGCTCCTCTGGTTGGAACTGGAGATAAGAAAGAACACAGCTTAGCCCAGGTTATTCCCCAGGTCCATCAATTTATCCACCTTCTCATCTATCCATTTGTCTTCCATCCATCCAACATCCATGTAGCATCTAGCATTAATAGACCAATGTATCCATCCAACCATCCAGTGTCCACCCTACTTTACCCACCATCTCATCTATCACCCATTCATATATCCATCCTCTGTTTATTCATAATCTGTCCATCCATCCAACATATATTCATCTACCCTTCCTTCCAACATCCATTCACCATCCATCACCCAACATTTATTCATCCAAGCATCCATCCGTTCATCACCATCATCTAAGCAACATCCATCTATCCAACACTCAGCATCTGTCCACCATTCATTCATCACCATCTATCTGGCTGGCCGGTTGGCTCTGTTGGTTAGAGCACAGTGTTATAACACCAAGGTCAAGGATTCAGACCCCCACAGTGGCCAGCCACCAAAAAAAAAAAAAAAAAAAAATCACCCTTCTATCCATCCAATATGTTTCTTTTTATCATTTGTCCAATATATATCACCTGTCTGTCTCCATTCACACCTCCATCGTCCATCATTCATCCATCACTTACCCACTGACCCATTGTCCTCCATCTGTTTCTTGCATTCACTCAAACACCCGTGTATCCACTGATCAACCGTGCACTGAGCTGAGCCCTCCTTTATGTGAGGCCAGGGGCCGGGGCTACAGAGATAACATAGGCACAGCTCCTGCCCCCATAGAGCTCATGTTTCTTATGGGGAAATGACAACCCGGTGTGACAGATGGAGGGAAGCAAAACCACCAAGCCCAGCGGGACAGCATCGCCAGCCTGGGGGTGGGGCAAGTATTCAGGGAAGGCTTCTCAGGACAGGGCACCTGCCCTAAGACTTGAACAATGAGCAGGCGTTTGGTGGGTGAAAAAGGAAGGGAAGAGAATCCTAGGCAATGGGAACAGCATGTGCAAAGGCAGGGAAGTATGCACACACAGCCCTGTGGCCAGCTCAGCACTAGAGGCAAATCTGGGATGGAAGGAAGGGCAGGAGGCCTTCAATGCCATGCCAAGGACCTCCCCGGAGTTGAGCAGCTGGAGCCCCGGCAGGACCTGGTGAATGCCTCTGCTTTGTCATCTGTGAACTGCCCTTAAGCACCTGGTGCTCCCACTCTCCCTAATCACTGTCTCCTGGCCCCCCAGGGAACCCTGAGCCACATCATGGACTAACTCCAGCTGAAGAGCCTTTCCGACCTCTCACCTTACTTTTGGCCAGGCCAGCCTGCAGCACCCTGCATCCACTGGACACAGCATCTTGTCCTCCCAGAGCCTCCCGCGGTCTGTCTCCCCAACAAGCCTGACAGCAACTTGAGGGCACAGCCAGGCTGGCTCTTCCCTGCATCTCTGGTGTCCGTGCATTGAATTGACTAGGGGTCAATTGATAAAAGCCACAGGGAAAAATGCAGGGGAGGGGGTTCCGTGGTCCTGCCATGGGTGCAGGGCTTCACAATGTGGTAGTTAAAAGCACAGGCTTTGGAGTAAATGCTTTGATGTCATTTCTCACAACTTATGCATGTGCGACCCTCAGTAAATGCCTAAGAAGTCAGCCTCAGCTTCCTCATCCATAAAATGGGGATAGTAGCAGCTGCCTCGTGTCCACCTGAGGCACGGACGGCAAAGCGTGTGAAGCACCACGCCCGGGACCCGGCACACGGTAAGCCCTCTGCCTGGAAGCACTCATCATCCATGGAGGTAGCCATGTTGGTCACCAGGGACATGAGGTGGGCTTGGAGGCACAAGCCTCCATATCACCCCGATGGTGCCTGCAAGGAGGAGGTTTTATAGAGGGAGACTGAGGCCAAGAGAGGTTGGGTGCCCAAAACCACTGTGTTCCTGATGAACTGAAGCTAGGTTGCAGGGCTCTGGCCTCCAGGATCCTCTCCACCCACCATCCTCAGATAAATACTCTGGGCTTCAAGGTAGCACCAAGTACCACTGAAGCTGGGGAAGGGACTTGGTGAGCGCCCACTGTGTGCCCACTTTGGGCCTACTTTGCACATGGCCCTTATTTAAGCAGCCTGTCTTGGCAGCCAACTCTACCCAATGAGTATGCAACCTCTTCTCTATGTCTGTGAACAGCTGTAGGGGCCAGGGTGGGGTAAGCAAGGCTGTCCTGGACTCAAGAACTTGGAATACAGCGGGGTGAGGGGACACGACACATTGGCTGCTGTCCACGCAGGGTCAGGTACAAGTCACCAGACAGAACATAAACCAGGTGGTGTGGGGCCAGGATGGGAGACCCTAGCCAAAGCATCTTGCTTGAGGCCTCAGGGTGATCTGTACTGAGCAGACTGGTGTCCCACCTGCCCAGCCCTGCCAGCTGTGTGATCTCGGGCAAGTGGCTTAACTCCATGCCCCAGTATCCTCATCTGTAAATAAATAGTGCCTTTCTCATCAGGTTGCTGTGGAACTAAATGGGGAAAGTACACATAAAGCGTTCAGACCAAGGCCTGGAACATTGTAAACGCTTGAAAAAGTGTCGGTCATTATTATTGCTGTCCAGTTTGGAGGTGGGGATGGGCTTTGGTCAGCAGGGAGGATTAGGTCTGAGCCTTTTAGGGTGTTCAGCCGCTGAGGTGACTCCAAAGGGAAGTCCTCTAAGGAGATTTGTCTGGAGTGGGCTGACTCTCTGGCTACCCTCAGAGGTGGGACTGACTTACCTCCAGCTCTGATGAACCAGGGCCCTCTGCAGGGCTCCTGCTCTCTGGCTGGCCCATCTGCTGCAGACCAGCCATAGTTGAGGTCTCTGGTCCGCTTGTCACTTTGGTCTTTGGCCACTGGGTAGAGGTGCAGGCAGGGCTGGGTGGCTGGGCTGGGCTCTGGGGTCTTTGCCCAGGACTGTGTCCATTGGCCAGGGTGACCTCGGCCCAGCCTTCAGGATGGCTGTGTTGCTTTGGCTCCAGAGCACCCTTTGTGTCCAGTGAACCCAGCTCTGGCCCTGAAGCCTTGGCTGGGTCCTTGTGGGGCAGCCGGGCCTGCAGGAGCTCTAGGAGGCCTTCCCAGTCCAGCCTTGGGAGCTGGGCCCAGGCCCCCTCTCCTGGTGCCCAGAGAAGGCCCAACAATTCCCTCCAGTCAAGTTCGAATCTCCTCTCAGGGCCATGTGGGTGTGGGCACACTCCCTCAGCCCCCCAGCTCATGGCAGTGGGTGTGTCAGGTGGCCAGGACTGCAAGAGTGCTGTGGGGCCTACCCAGGAGTTCTCTGGGGGCTTCATGGGCTGATGGGGACAGGACAGCTCTGGCAGACTGCTCCAGCCGCTCTGGGCTGGCTTCTCCAGGGGCTCCTCCCAGGCCTCTGACTGCCCCCAGCCCACCCTGTACTCCCTGGGAGGGCCCTCCCATGTTCCCTCCAGGGCACTGGCAGCCCCCACGCTGGGCTCCCCAGGTCCTTGAGAGTGCCCAGGGCTCAGACCCTCCTCCTGGATGCTCCAGCTCCTCTCCAGGTGTTTGTGGGGACCCTGGGACCCTCGCGGCTCCCCCAGACCCTGACTCTGCCACCCCGCCAGAGGCTCTCTTGGACCCGTTTGGCCACTCTCCAGAGGTCTGTCTCTCCGTGGCTTCCTCTCAGGTGTCTTGGCTGATGTCCTGGAGGGTAGTGAGGACCCCTTATGCCACTGGTCCCCCTCAGCTCGCCTCTCAGGACTCCTGGGATGAGGGGGCTCTGCTCGGCTCCGCCGGGCGGGTTCTGCCTGCTCAGCAGGGGGCTTGGTCACCTGAGGATGAGGTGAAGGGGTAGGTGAGGCTCTGGGACCCCAGCTGGGTGACCTGTCTGTCATAACCAGGCCCTGGGAGAGGCAAGGCTGTGTCCTCACGACAGCCTGGCTCAAAAAGTACATATGGGGCCTCCGAATTCCCTTTCTGGGGGGGTCAGCTCTTCCTCTCACTCACTTTCCTCAGTTCTAGAAAGAGCTCTGCAATCAGCTGCTCAGTTCCCTGGCTTCCCCTCCCCGCAAGATACTGATTCCAACCTGGGCTATCAAGTGCCAGAATTTCCACCACCAATAGCCCATTCCACTGGGTGGGGCTTGCCCTCTGATAGTTTATCTATACAAATCCCCACCCTGGAAGAGCCCTTAGAGCCAGACTGATGCATCCAAGGTTTCCCCCCAAATCTTCTCAAGATAGCAGGGGCCTCGTGAAGGAAGGGGCAGCATGGAGGCGCTATCTGCAAAGGACTCACTTGGGGTCTTTTGCATTTTGCAAAGAGCTGCTGGTCCTTGGGGAGAGGGGAAAGCTGGATACCCATGATTGGGGCTCTGACCTCCCTGTCCAGGACCCCTGCCTGGCATCTAGTAGGAAGGGAGAAGCAGTGGCTGCCCCTTGGGGATGCCAGGGCCCTAGGCGGCTGACAGTGCTCACCTGCCTGCTGGGGGCAGGGCTGGACTGCCTTCGGAGAAGTTGGCTCTGATCTTGGCTGGGCCGCTTTGACCGTCCCTCATCCTGGGCCTGGAAGACCCCCGGTGCCTCGGACTTCCTATGAGCAAATGCAGCCGCTCCCCTGAGGGCCTCTGTACCGTCCCCTTCCCAGCACCCTAGCCCTCTACTCCCACCCTCAGTGGGAGGAGACGTGGGAGATCCAGGGACTGAATGCAAACTTCTTGCCCTAAGTGAAGGATGACTCTCTCAGGGCCTCAGTTTCCCCTTCTGAAAAATGGGGATGGTTGACATGACACTATTCTGCCTCATCGGGCTGTTGTGAAGAAGAAAAGAGAAAAAGGGCTGAGTCCAGGTGATGGGATGGGGAGAGGGCCAGGCCTTGACCATGGCTGCCTCCTGTCTCATTCCATACTTCCTGCTACTGACCTGCCCCACCAGTCACCCGCAGACAGAGGTTAAACTGGTCCTTGTGGGAAGTAAGATTTATTGAGCACCTACTGTGTACCAAGCACTGTGCACACATAATCATAATGGCAAACATTTATTGAGCACTTCTGTGTTCCAGGTGCCAAGCACTTGCTTGCATGATCTCATTCTCTCACACAACCCACGCAGTGGGGACAAGAGAGGCAGAATGTTATGCGCCCCCATATTCCATTCTTTCCACCCTTTTCCTGTCCATATTGTAAATTTGGGATTTCTCAGGCCTCCTTCCCTGCCACCTCAGGGCTAACTAACAGGATTCAGGCTTGAAAACTCCAGGCCATCCTAGCTATTGGCAAAGAGCTCTTAGCAAGAGCGGAAGGAAGAGGGAGGGGAGGAGGGTGGAGGGGAAAACAAGGGGTTGACTAAAGGGTACAAAGCTATGCTATCTACCCTAAGTGATTCATTGTGCAGTATTTGCATGTATTGAAACAACACACTATCCCCCACAAAAATAAATATAAAATTGAAAAAAGATCAGAAGGAAGAAACGTTTTCCCTGACAACCCCAGAAAGGCCAACATAAACTGTCCAGGCAAATGTCATTTCTAAGACACCCAGACTTCAAGTATTGTTGCCGCATCCAATGAAGACAACCTCTAACCTATGCAAAAAGTCTCTAGTTCCAGTTAGTTGTCTTGCTTAGTAATTAGTAGCCACTGTTATTAATATTCAACATGATATCTGTGTTGAAAGGCAGGAACACCAAACAGAATCTGGGCACATCTCTCCCTTCCCATATAGAAGGGGTCAAAACAAGACTCAACCACTCCATAAATATTTCTTCAATGGGGTTTGAGAGTCTGACTTGATCTATATTGACAAAGGGAGCCATATTTCTGGTGGCTGCATCAAACCAGAGGAGAAGCCTGAAAAAGACCCTGTGGCGGGCCCTGCATGAGCCAACAAAATGGGAGGTGAGACCAGGCTCTGTACAGGGCCCATAAATATTTCTTCAATGGGGTTTGAGAGTCTGACTTGATCTATATTGACAAAGGGAGCCGTATTTCTGGTGGCTGCATCAAACCAGAGGAGAAACCTGAAAAAGACCCTGTGGCGGGCCCTGCATGAGCCAACAAAATGGGAGGTGAGACCAGGCTCTGTACAGGGCTCCGGGGCTACTGCTGTCTGCGGTCTGCCTGCAGCTAATGAACCATGCTGGAATGCTGCAGAGGCTTTGGAGAATACAAAAGTATGGGGTTGGGGTTTGTTGTTGTCTTATGGCTTTTGCCAATGTCGTTAGAATCTGACCCATACAGTAATTTGACATTTAGCAGTTCTTACAGCTGACTCAGAGAGGAACCAAAGTTCCCTGGAGTGTTTCTGAGCTTGAGGGCTCTCTGATCAGGTTCAATTTTTAATCTAATTTGATGCAAGTGAGTTTCCTTGCTCTTTGAGAGCTGAGACCTTGGAGTGAGTTTTCCCCAGAACTGGGGTCCAGGAGCCTCAGTGAAGCAAAGGCCCCAAATGTGACTAGGTGGGATGTTCCTCACTAATGGGAAGGATAACGGTGGAATATAGCCAGTTCAGGGAGGCAGGAAAAATGTGTGTTCTCTTTTGAATGGATGCATCCTCCATACAAACTCCAGATTGCTCCATGAGCATTCCTTCTGAGAATTCTCCTTCCTTTTCCCCCCATGTGGAATTGAGAGATTGGAGTGAGGGACTCGAGAAGATTCTGAGACCCCAAGGGAGACCCAGCTTTTCTGATGCTGAAGCAACAGCATTTCCTTGTACCACCTGTTCCTGAGGGTTGGTGTGTCTGCACCAAGGACGACAAAGGAAACACACTTCCTTTGGAAGCTTAGATGGGTTCTTCGACCTCCAGAGAGTATTAAAGGACCAAAGCCGTGAAGTCTAGCACATCCAATGAAGGCTCTGTTTTGAATTCAAGAGACCATGGAATGCTTATATGATTCTAAGATAAGAGATTCCAAAGGCATCTAAGGAAAAAAAAAATTGAGATATCAAGCCAAAACCCTTAATGCTTTGATGTGATAGCCCCTTAAGAAAAAAAATTCCAGGCTCAAAACAATGCTTGGACAGAGTAGATGCTCAATAAGGTACATGTTGAGGGCCGGCCCGTGGCTCACTCGGGAGAGTGTGGTGCTGATAATACCGAGGCCACAGGTTCAGATCCCATATAGAGATGGCAGGTTAGCTCACTTGGGAGAGCGTGGTGCTGACAACACCAGGTCAAGGGTTAAGATCCCCTTACCAGTCATCTTTAAAAAAAAAAAAAATTACATATTGGATGTATAAAAGGGGGGAAAGTGCAACTCTATAGCCGCCCACCTGTAAATTCCAGTTTGCCCCTTAAATAATTTTTTAAAAACCATCTTCAGAGCATAAATGGTTTTCTATTTGGAAAAAGTTCCATATATAAGGAAAAAATTTAATTACTCAGTAGTGTTATAAAACCTTGACTGAAAGGTAAATAATCTACTTCAAAGAGAACAGAACCAAATGTATAGAAGTAATTGTGTAAGAACAATTAAATGGTTAATGTAAGTGTAAACATATTTCTTCTTCTTCTTCTTTTTTTTTTTTGTTTGTTTTTGTGGCCAGTAATGGAATCGCAACCGTTGGCTTGGTGTCGCCTGCACCGCGCTCAACCAGTGAGCGCACCGGTCATCCCTATATAGGATCCGAACCTGCGGCGGAAGTGCCGCTGCGCTCCCAGCGCCGCATTCTCCCGAGTGAGCCATGGGGTCGGCCCGTAAATATATTTCTGATTTCTGTTATCAACACTTTATCTCTGTAAAAGTTATGGGGGAGAGGGAATTAACTTTGGTTTAAACACCTTAGTGTCCCTCAGGGTATAATCACAATTTGTGGTAACGGGCATGCTGCCAGTATGGATCTGGCCATCACATCTTAGGCACCAGTGGTGACAATTTGCTTTGTACTCCATGAATATTCATAACCAATAAAAATAAATAAATAAATAAAAATAATAAATTTAACCAAGGGCAGGGGGAAAAAAAGACCTTAGTGTCCCTGCTGAGTTATCAGATAAGACAAAGATATGCAAATTGACATCAAACCAAAAATAGTAATCATAAGAAGGTCAAAGATGTAGGATTTTTAGGGCAGTGAAACTACTCCATATGGTAGATACTTGTCATTACACATTCATCCAAACTCATAGAATGTGTAAACACCAAGAATGAACTCTAATATAAACTATGGACTTTGGGTGACTTATCAGTGTAGGTTCATGGACCACTTACCAGTGTAATAAATGGACCACTCTGGTGCCAGATGTTGATAGCAGGGGAGGCTGAGCATGTTTGGGGACAGGGGTATATGGGAACTCTGTACTTTCTGCTCAATTTTGTTATAAATCTAAAACTGCTCTAAAAAAAAAGAATGTATTTCCTTTTTAAGAAAAGGCCAAAGAAGGGGGAAGGGGAAGGGAGAAAGGAGGAAGGGAGAGATTGGATACAGGGCATAAAGAATAAGTCTGATTTGTAACAATGAACATGCTAAGAAAAAAGAAAAAGGCCAAAGGAAGAATTACACTAATGCTGGAGACCATAAAGATTGTCACCTGGATATTAAATGGATCAAGCTTACTGGAAAAGGAAATTTAAAGAACAAGAGATAAGGTTTCTCCTGCAGATTTGAATCTAAGTGAAATGTTGCCTAAAGGGCAGCAAGAAGAGGAATGTTAGACACGAAACAAAGCATTACACGCCCCTTTAGGGTGATGGACATGTTCTAAAATTAGATTGTGGTGATGGTTATACAACTTGATAAATGTACTAATATTCATTGAATTATACACTGAAAGTTTTGAAACTTCCACACCTAATTTTTTTTTTCTTTTTTTGGTTCTCTTGACCCTAACTAATGGAATTCCAGCTCTGATCCTTGAAAACTCCAGGGCTGAGACTGCTGGGGAAAGAAATCTCAGCCAGATGGGAAGGAAATGTTTCCCCTCCCAGTGGTTTGGTACTACTGACCAAGGAGACTTGAACGACACCTGGACTCCAGGTGTGTTGTCATGTCCCAGGAAAATAACGTTTAACCTCTAAAAAGCCTATAATTCTGTGAGTTCTCTTGTTTAAAATATGTGGCTCTGGCCATACATTTTAAATTGACATCTCTGTTTTCTGAAATGCATAGTGACCTGCGAGTTTTCTTTGTTAAGTCAGAAAAGAACCATGGGCACTTTCTTCTCCCTTATGCAAGGAGGAAAAAAACAAATCCTCCCTCATTTTACAGATGAGGAAACTGAGGCTCCAGTAGGTTAAGTTACTTTACCAAATCACACAGGTTGGGAAGTGGCTTTTACCCAGTATTTGAAACCAGCCATGCTGCCAGACTCCGTCTTTTTTCTCTGGTGCCTGGCCGGTATGGGGACCTCAACCCGTGACCTTGGTATTATAAGGCTGCTTGGTAACCAACTGAGCTAACTGGCGAGCTCCCCTGACTCCGTCTTTGCTCTTAACATCTAGGCTATGCACAGTATCACTCACACCTCAAAAAAACTCCTAATAAGCAGAAACAGAGAAGAAGTGACTTGCTCAAGGTCATGCACCCAGTAAATGGCAGGGCAGGGGAATTTGAACCCTTTCTTCTGGCAGCATAACCCTGAGAACATTCCACCTGCCTTGCTGCTGAAACTCCCTGGCCCACCCGGCTTACCCTGCCCCAGGCTCACCTGCGCTCCTGCCCGAAAAGGCGCTCCACCTCTGCGCGGCCAGGGCTGCGGGTGCGGCTGCTGTTGCCAGCCTCCTGCTGGGCCAGCCTCCTGGGTGGGGGCAGGTCGGCCAGCATGGTGTATTCCTCCCTCTCCAAGTTGTGCCTGGTCTCCCCAGCGGGCGCTGAACCCCGGGAGCCCCCTGAGCTGCCTGGCGTTGGTGAGGGTGCCAGGAGCGCTAGGTCACTGGGTGGGTGGCGGGGTGGGGAGGAGGCTCGAGGTGCATCCCGGTGCCCAATGCACACTTGGGGGGGCAGCACTGGGGAGCCATGCAGAGAGTCAGTGGAGGGAGCCAGGCTCTCCATACTAGTCCCAGGGGGGTCCTGGAAGAAGAGGGAGGGTTCAGGGGCTTGGCGTGGTGGGGATGAGAAGGAGGGTGCATCCCGGTGCCCAATGCACACAGGGGTAGGGATGTGGGGGGGCTCGTGCAGAGAGTCCATGGAAGGGACAAGGCTCTCGGTGCTGGCCCTAGGAAGATCCTGGAATAAGAGGAAGGGCTCTGGTGCCTGGCGCGGTGGGGAGGAGGCCCGGGGTGCATCACGGTACCCGATACACACGGGTGGGGGGAACTGGGGAGAGTCATGCTGGGGGGACTGATTCTCTGATTCTTGGGGATCTGATGGGTCTGGGAGGAAAGGGAAGGGGTCGAGCTGGCTGTGGCGGGGGGGCGAGGATGCCCGGGGGGCATCCCGGTGTCCAATGCACACGGCAGGTGGTATGTAGGGGGGGTCATGGTGGGGTGATTCACTCTCGGATGCAGTGTGGTCTGGGAAGAAGGGGAAGGGGTCGTGCTGCAAATAGCGAGGAGGCGAAGAGGCTCGAGGGGCATCCCGGTGCCCAATACACACAGCACAGGGAGGCTGGGAGGGCTCAGCAGGGGTCTGGGGAGCACCCCGGGGAGCAGGGTACAGAGGCGAGGATGTCTGGGAGGCACTGGGGTGGCCCAGGTTATGGGGAGAAGAGGTGGCCCGGGATGGCAAGCTATGCTGGGTGGGACCAGAAGAGGAGTGGGCTGGTCTAGTAGGAGATGAGGTCTGAGACCTGTCACCTTGGGTTGGCCGGAGGGCAATGGAAACCCAGGGAACCTCACTTTTCTTGGAGCGAGATGGTGAGGAGGTTCGGCGGCCATCGCTCTGAGTTGGCCGGAGGGGAAAGGAGGCCCAGGGGATGTCTTTGTTCGTACGATGGGGAGAGAGATTCCTGGGATTGTTCCGTTGAGTGGAGCGGTGGGGAGATGATGGCCCAGGATTGTCCTTTTGGGTGCAGCATTGAGGGGAGGAGGTTCCGGGGTTGTTGGGTTGAAAAGAAGAGGAGTGTGGGTTGTCCCGTTGGGTATAATTAGTCCTGAGGTTATCCCACTTCGTACAAGAGGCTTTAGAGTTGTCTCGTTGGGTAGAAGAGGTTCTGGGGGTGTTCTGTTGGGCACAAGAAGTTCTGGGTTTGTCCCGCAGGGTGGTTCTGTTGGGAGAGGAGCCTCTGGGATCGTCCCGTTGGGCACAAGATGTTCTGGAGATTTCCCTTTGGGTGGTTCTGTTGGGAGAGGAGGCTCTGGGATTGTCCCGTTGGGTACAAGATGTTCTGGAGATTTCCCTTTGGGTGGTTCTGTTGGGAGAGGAGCCT